CGTTTTAATTACTAAACTGTTAATCCAACTAGATTGGTATAAAAGAACTTTTATTTACAATAATCATTTTTGTATTTTAAAATAATGTCATTTGGCTAAATATACATTTATATAAGCCACATTGTATAAATGTAATATTTTATATATAGAGGTACCAGCACTGGTGCAACTGAAGGGACCCTTAGCCTTGGAGAAGGGAACACAGAGCATTCAGAGAAAAAAAACTTGTCATTTAACTCTGAGTACGTTTGAGTGTTCACTTCTCCTACCACCCCCCTTTTTTATTTCCTATATATTTCTATAATCCTATTTAAGGGCAGACATATAATCTTATATGTATAATAAAAAAAAAGAATGTCTGATTAGAGTAGGAGCCCTGATGCTTAAGGCTAGCCTCACTCAACTTTCCAAGATGACACATGGAGGATAGGGGAGTGTCATAGGCCAGTCAACGTCAATCCTAGTGCCACTTTTTAGGAAAAATCGGCATCTACAGCAACCCCCTCCCCCCCCCTGTAACTTTCCTAAAGTCTGAATTCAGGGATATGTTTTCCATAGATTTTTTACTGTTTCGTAATATTACATTTAGTGAGGAGAAGAGGGGGGGTTAGAGAAGGAAGAGTAGAGGAGAACAGGGAGATAGACCCGGGCACAGCCGGGTACCCAGTCTATTATACATTCCAAAGCTTCGATGTTAAAAATGCCCATTACAATTATACAATTTAAATAATATAATTTTTTAATACAATTTATTAATGCAATTTATTTTAATAGCCTAATACAATTTAAATCTGTCACAAACAAATCAGAACTTTCTTCCCTATTAGAATACAAAGACACTATATAGGAGGAACAGCTATTTGTATAATCAATAATACATCTAGATTTATTTTGAGTAATAAAATGAGTATAGTGTATGAATGTTTGCGTATTATGTGTAGTGAAAAGCTCTCAAGTTATTTCATATTGCGATAGACAAGGTTTATATCCCTGTAAGCCATGTATTATACCTTGTAAACCTGTAAACCTTGTATTATACCTTGTAAACCTCGTACAATACTTTGCAAACATGTAAACATTGTACTATACCTTGTAAATCTGTATTATACCTTGTATTATACATTGTAAACCTTGTATTATACCTTGTAAACCTGTAAACCTTGTACTATAACCCGTAAACCTTGTACTAAACTTTATACTGTAACGATGACAAATATTTTTAGAGATCTGTCAGTGAAATTTCACAATAAAGTTCTCTGCAAATATTTCTGTATTTGTAAAAAAAAACTCTGTAGAGGAGAAATGTATAGAGTAATGTTAGGATAGAGCATATAGAGGCCTCCATATACCCCTACACCCCTGCACCTGGGGGAGTGGGGGGGTGTGTAGGTGTGTGTAGGGGTGTGTGTGTGTGTAGGGGTGTGGTGTGGGGGTCTAGGTATGGGTGGGTGTGGGTGTGTAGGTGTGGGGGTCTAGGTGTGGGTGTGTGGTGGGGTGTGGGTGTGTAGGTGTGGGTGTGGGGGTGTAGGTGTGGGGGGGTGTGGGTGGGTGTGGGTGTTTAAAAGATTAAAAACTGCGTATGTCTAACCTCTTTATTGATTACCCGGAATTAATTTAGAAAAAAAAATTTCGCCGAAGGATTAGAGGCAGGGACTTAAGAACGGCTTGGCGATAAGGTCGGGTGCTTGATGTAGTTCTAATGGGCTTAACGCCTCTCTGACACGCCTCTCTTAACCCCCTCTTCATCGCCCGACACACACACACACACACACACACACACACACACACACACACACACACACACACACACACACACACACACACACACACACACAAGGTATGCTACTAGACTAGTCCCAGAACTAAGAGGCATGAGTTATGAGGAAAGGCTGCGGGAAATGCACCTCACGACACTGGAAGACAGAAGAGTAAGGGGGGACATGATCACAACCTACAAAATCCTCAGGGGAATCGACCGGGTAAACAAGGACGAACTTTTCAACACTGGTGGGACGCGAACAAGGGGACACAGGTGGAAGCTGAGTACCCAAATGAGCCACAGAGACGTTAGAAAGAACTTTTTCAGTGTCAGAGTAGTTAGCAAATGGAATGCATTAGGAAGTGATGCGGTGGAGGCTGACTCCATTCACAGTTTCAAATGTAGATATGATAGAGCCCAATAGGCTCAGGAATCTGTACACCAGTTGATTGACGGTTGAGAGGCGGGACCAAAGAGCCAGAGCTCAACCCCCGCAAGCACAATTAGGTAAGCAATTAGGTAAGCACACACACACCTTTCGGACGCTCTCTCGCAAAATTTTCGTTCGCGTACATACACCAGTCGTGTCATTTTGAAAGCGATTAATATCAACATTGCAGAGTGATTACATATGCAATGTTGCTCAAGTTGGCTGGTTAAATATTTGGCGAACAACTGCCAGTGATTAAAACGAATTTAAATATAATTAAGAAGTTCAAGGTTGTTATTACGAGTGAAGATGAAGAGGGGGGGTGAGGGCAGCGGCGTGGATTTAAGGGCAGCGGCGTGGATTTAAGGGCAGCGGCGGGGATTTAAGGAGCAGCGGCGTGGATTTATGGGCAGCGGCGTGGATTTAAGGACAACGGCGTGGATTTAAGAGCAGCGGCGTGGATTTAAGGGCAGCGGCGTGGATTTATGGGCAGCGGCGTGGATTTAAGGGCAGCGGCGTGGATTTATGGGCAGCGGCGTGGATTTAAGGGCAGCGGCGTGGATTTATGGGCAGCGGCGGGGATTTAAGGAGCAGCGGCGTGGATTTATGGGCAGCGGCGTGGATTTAAGGACAACGGCGTGGATTTAAGAGCAGCGGCGTGGATTTAAGGGCAGCGGCGTGGATTTAAGGAGCAGCGGCGTGGATTTAAGAGCAGCGGCGTGGATTTACGGACAGCGGCGTGGATTTAAGGAGCAGCGGCGTGGATTTAAGGAGCAGCGGCGTGGATTTAAGGGCAGCGGCGTGGATTTAAGGAGCAGCGGCGTGGATTTAAGGAGCAGCGGCGTGGATTTAAGGAGCAGCGGCGTGGATTTATGGGTAGCGGCGTGGATTTATGGGTAGCGGCGTGGATTTAAGGAGCAGCGGCGTGGATTTAAGAGCAGCGGCGTGGATTTAAGGGCAGCGGCGTGGATTTAAGAGCAGCGGCGTGGATTTAAGAGCAGCGGCGTGGATTTACGGACAGCGGCGTTGATTTGTGGACAGCGGCGTGGATTTAAGGGCAGCGGCGTGGATTTAAGAGTAGCGGCGTGGATTTAAGAGCAGCGGCGTGGATTTACGGACAGCGGCGTTGATTTGTGGACAGCGGCGTGGATTTAAGGGCAGCGGCGTGGATTTAAGAGTAGCGGCGTGGATTTAAGAGCAGCGGCGTGGATTTACGGACAGCGGCGTGGATTTAAGAGCAGCGGCGTGGATTTAAGAGTAGCGGCGTGGATTTAAGAGCAGCGGCGTGGATTTAAGGGCAGCGGCGTGGATTTACGGACAGCGGCGTGGATTTAAGAGCAGCGGCGTGGATTTACGGACAGCGGCGTGGATTTAAGAGCAGCGGCGTGGATTTAAGAGTAGCGGCGTGGATTTAAGAGCAGTGGCGTGGATTTAAGAGCAGCGGCGTGGATTTACGGACAGCGGCGTGGATTTAAGGGCAGCGGCGTGGATTTAAGGACAACGGCGTGGATTTAAGAGCAGCGGCGTGGATTTAAGGACAACGGCGTGGATTTATAGACCAAAACGATAAGTAGGAAAACGAGGGACGACAGATTTGTGAAATTGAATCAAGCCGAGGCTGATTCAATCCTTTTAGTCAAGTATACCAATGACTTCCCCCACTGTTGGTATTTTGGGGGACACACGCACGCACACGCACGCACACGCACGCACACACTTACACACACACACACACACTTACACATAAGGGTGGGACGCGAACAAGGGGACACAGGTGGAGACTGAGTACCCACATGAGCCACAGGGACGTTAGAAAGAACTTTTTCAGTGTCAGAGTATCTTGAGGTTATCTTGAGATGATTTCGGGGCTTTTTTTAGTGTCCCCGCGGCCCGGTCCTCGACCAGGCCTCCACCCCCAGGAAGCAGCCCGTGACAGCTGACTAACTCCCAGGTACCTATTTACTGCTAGGTAACAGGGGCATTTAGGGTGAAAGAAACTTTGCCCATTTGTTTCTGCCTCGTGCGGGAATCGAACCCGCGCCACAGAATTACGAGTGCTGCGCGCTATCCACCAGGCTACGAGGCCCCCCTCGTAGTTAACAGGTGGAATGCATCAGGCAGTGATGTGGTGGAGGCTGACTCCATACACAGTTTATAATGTAGATATGACAGAGCCCAATAGGCTCAGGAACCTGTACACCAGTTGATTGACGGTTGAGAGGCGGGACCAAAGAGCCAGAGCTCAACCCCCGCAAGCACAACTAGGTGAGTATACCCAGAACACTTAAAACATGACACATGTCATTGTAACCACAGGATTCATTGTATCCTATTAACCACGTGACAGGTCCATCATTCATCATACCTGACCCATCATTATCATGTAGACTACATCACCTGACACTCATCATATCAACCTGTCACTGTATCTGACAGTCGCCAACGACCTTGACAGATTAACCATCCGCCTGTCCTTACCACATGGCGCTGAAACCTTAAATCACCAATTAAGGGGGACTTTTAGCCTCGTGCAGAGCCCTGGTGTCTAACTGTCGACCACGCGGCGACAAACCCAACGTCTTAATTCAGGTACAAATAGGGAACAACTACGAATTTGAAGTCTCACAGACGACCCAAAGACTCCCCCCCCCACAGACGACCCAAAGACCTCCCCCCCCCCACAGACAGACGACCCAAAGACCTTCCCCCCCCTTTAGGGTTCTTGCTAGAAATGGTGGTCATTGTGGCAAATTAACGGCCCTCGTTTCAGGCAGGTTCATGCTCAAATAATCAAATTTCAAATTTCAAATTTCATGGTTGGGGGCGTGGTTGGGGGGTGGCAGCGAGGGCGTGGTTGGGGGGTGGCAGCGGGGGCGTGGTTGGGGGGTGGCAGCGGGGGCGTGGTTGGGGGGTGACAGCGAGGGCGTGGTTGGGGGGTGGCAGCGAGGGCGTGGTTGGGGGGTGGCAGCGAGGGCGTGGTTGGGGGGTGGCAGCGGGGGTGGTTGGGGGGTGACAGCGAGGGCGTGGTTGGGGGGTGGCAGCGAGGGCGTGGTTGGGAGGTGGCAGCGAGGGCGTGGTTGGGGGGTGGCAGCGAGGGCGTGGTTGGGGGGTGGCAGCGAGGGCGTGGTTGGGGGGTGGCAGCGAGGGCAGCGAGGGCGTGGTTGGGGGGGCGTGGCAGCGTGGTTGGGGGGTGGCAGCGAGGGGTTGGGGGGTGGCGTGGTTGGGGGGGTTGGGGGGTGGCAGCGAGGGCGTGGTTGGGGGTGGCAGCGAGGGCGTGGTTGGGGGGTGGCAGCGAGGTCGTGGTTGGGGGGTGGCAGCGAGGGCGTGGTTGGGGGGTGGCAGCGAGGGCGTGGTTGGGGGGTGGCAGCGAGGGCGTGGTTGGGGGGTGGCAGCGAGGGCGTGGTTGGGGGGTGGCAGCGAGGGCGTGGTTGGGGGGTGGCAGCGAGGGCGTGGTTGGGGGGTGGCAGCGAGGGCGTGGTTGGGAGGTGGCAGCGAGGGCGTGGTTGGGGGGTGGCAGCGAGGGCGTGGTTGGGGGGTGGCACAAGTCCGGACAACTACGTCACGCTGCTTTCCGCATTTGCATATGGTGACGTCACTGGTGGCGGGAGTTAATATGCGCAGTGCTGCGCCACCTGCCACCCCTAGTACCACCAACTGCCACCCCCAGTACCACCTCCTGCCACCCCCAGTACCACCTGCCACCCCCAGTACCACCGCCTGCCACCCCCAGTACCACCTGCCACCCCCAGTACCACCGGCCACCCCCAGTACCACCACCTGCCACCCCCAGTACCACCTGCCACCCCCAGTACCACCTGCCACCCCCAGTACCTCCTACCACCCCCCAGTACCACCCTCTACCAATCAAAACAAGGCAGGTTTACAAGACATATATACACAAGCAACAACTGCTCAAATCGAGAAAAATAACGATGCAATCTCTCCTGAGGAGTTGCAACAATATCAGTCGTTGCAGGACGGAACACGACCGTCGTATGTGTCGTGCCCTCTACACGACCCGGTGGCTCTGCTCTACACGACCCGGTGGCTCTGCTCTACACGACCCGGTGGCTCTGCTCTACACGACCCGGTGGCTCTGCTCTACACGACCCGGTGGCTCCCTCACTACCCTGTGGCTCTGCTCTACACGACCCGGTGGCTCTGCTCTACACGACCCGGTGGCTCTGCTCTACACGACCCGGTGGCTCTGCTCTACACGACCCGGTGGCTCCCTCACTACCCTGTGGCTCTGCTCTACACGACCCGGTGGCTCTGCTCTACACGACCCGGTGGCTCTGCTCTACACGACCCGGTGGCTCTGCTCTACACGACCCGGTGGCTCCCTCACTACCCTGTGGCTCTGCTCTACACGACCCGGTGGCTCTGCTCTACACGACCCGGTGGCTCTGCTCTACACGACCCGGTGGCTCTGCTCTACACGACCCGGTGGCTCCCTCACTACCCTGTGGCTCTGCTCTACACGACCCGGTGGCTCTGCTCTACACGACCCGGTGGCTCTGCTCTACACGACCCGGTGGCTCTGCTCTACACGACCCGGTGGCTCTGCTCTACACGACCCGGTGGCTCTGCTCTACACGACCCGGTGGCTCTGCTCTACACGACCCGGTGGCTCTGCTCTACACGACCCGGTGGCTCTGCTCTACACGACCCGGGCTGGCTCTGCTCTACACGACCCGGTGGCTCTGCTCTACACGACCCGGTGGCTCTGCTCTACACGACCCGGTGGCTCTGCTCTACACGACCCGGTGGCTCTGCTCTACACGACCCGGTGGCTCTGCTCTACACGACCCGGTGGCTCTGCTCTACACGACCCGGTGGCTCCCTCACCCCTGTGGCTCTGCTCTACACGACCCGGTGGCTCTGCTCTACACGACCCGGTGGCTCTGCTCTACACGACCCGGTGGCTCTGCTCTACACGACCCGGTGGCTCTGCTCTACACGACCCGGTGGCTCTGCTCTACACGACCCGGTGGCTCTGCTCTACACGACCCTGTGGCTCTGCTCTACACGACCCGGTGGCTCTCACTACCCTGTGGCTCTGCTCTACACGACCCGGTGGCTCTGCTCTACACGACCCGGTGGCTCTGCTCTACATGACCCGGTGGCTCTGCTCTACCCGGTGGCTCTGCTCTACACGACCCGGTGGCTCCCTCACTACCCTGTGGCTCTGCTCTACACGACCCGGTGGCTCTGCTCTACACGACCCGGTGGCTCTGCTCTACACGACCCGGTGGCTCTGCTCTACACGACCCGGTGGCTCCCTCACTACCCTGTCCTGCAACACTGCAATGCCAAGTGAGCTTCCAAAAACGACAGCCATTTTCAGGTATAATATTATCAGTCATTTTGTTCTGTTGTAGGTAAGTGATACCTGATCAACCAGGCTGTGACTCATACGTCAGGCTGCGAGCAGCCGCGTCCAACAGCCTGGTTGATCAGTCCAGCAACCAGGAGGCCTGGTCGACGACCGGGCCGCGGGGACGCTAAGCCCCGGAAGCACCTCAAGGTAACCTCAAGGTAAGTGTATGACCTCTCTACGACCTGCTGTTGTTAGCAACGCGCTAACAATGATGCTGTTGTTAGCAAGATAATAGGTCTACCCAGAGCACCCCTTAATACCATTTATTAGCGCCCCTTTGAATTTTCTGTATAAGAGGCTACGAACGATCAAATATTTACAATATCTACTTTCCAGAATATATTTTTTTAACTGGAATTTGTAAAACATGTAAACTATTCCTATTTTGCGTTCCCCAGCCCCTATTTACACGCCCCTATTCTCGTCCAATTGTTTATGTCGTGGACTATTATGTATAAAAGTGGATTGACAAGCATTGAGTGGAATATATTCACTCAATTGTACATAAACAAACTATTTAGCTTTTATTTAAATTCACTATATTTATAAAATGCAATTTTAAACATTTATCTCCGTCAAGTGTTTAGTTTCAGTCACGTGCAGATGTTTTAGTTAATTTGGTCATTACTTTAAAACACAGGAATCGCCAGTTTCAGGTGTTTTTTCTCCTTTAATTGTCTGTAATTGCATATGTGCCATACTAAACATAGTAGTTTACATTGAAAAGCTTCATAGAAAACACCGACCTTACCTAACCTTCTTAGTATGTTAAGATAAGCATCTTATTGCTTCGTAATTACAATTATTACTTAACCTATTATAGGTATAGGTATAGGTATAGGTTAGGTTAGGTTAGTCTGATTTGTAGCTGAGAGGTAGGTGTTATCTGGTAGTTATCTTGTAGCTATATTGTAGCTATCTTGTATCTTCGATATAGCTATCTCGTACCATTTTAGAGTTATCTGCATCTATATTCGCCTGTATATCTTTAATATATATTCAATGGTAATAGACAATCTCTTTTTGTATAAAAATTCCGCAATTACAAAAGTATTAAAAAACATCGATATTTATACAACTCACACATAAAAAAAAAAAAATTGTTTTAATTTAGTTCCAAAAATAACAAAAATTCCCACTGCTCCAAATAGGAAATATTTACATTTTTCATTCACGCTCCAATATTTTATTCATCAGAATTTTATTCATGTTTTTCATTCATATTTATTCATTCATATTTATTCATTTACAATATACTACTCCTTTACGCGCCTGTGTGAAGTAATCTGACTTAACACACCGTATTTTTAACGCAGTAAACCAATACGTCAAAATTGCGGGGTTTAAAGGAAAATTTACACCACCGTAATATAGACGTTTCCAGAGGGGTCTGGGGGGAGGGAGGTAGGGGGGGGGGAGGGAAGCGTCTTTTAAAGTCCTTCGGAGGACACCAGACAGACTAACTGTGATCTATCCTCTAGGGATTAAACTACAGAGCCTTGTCCCCTCCGGTTTAACTGAAATTGTAACCTTCATCTACTGTTGATACACAAGCCTCACGAAGAGGAAGCAAGAAAAAAACACGACAAACACAAAAATATAAATGTTGTTTTTTTTTCCATGAAAAGACACGAGTCTCTAGGAACAGACTTCATCAGATTGCGCTACCGCTCACAGGATGAGTATGGGGTGCACAATAAACTAGCCGCCTTCGGCGGCAACAATCAGATGAGCTGATGCGGCATAACAACTCTTGCTTGCAGTTTCACCAGAAACTTTAGCACAATTCTTAATGAAACCTAATTTAAGTAGGAGGGAGAGAGAGAGACATAGATGGAAATAAAGAAGTAGAAAAAGAGAGGGAGAATGAGAATGAGAGCAGGATGAGAGTCGACTATACTCTCACACTGGTATATAGATATCTTTAAGAAGACCATTATAAAAAACCTTTTCCACTCGACGTAGCTGGCACTGTTGGTCTGAAACTTTACCAAGAGGGTCAGGCAGTGCCAGTGCCAGAATGTCAATATTATCGGAATGGGATTAGATCGAGGGATTGGTATAATCTTGATGAAAGTGGAGGAGGTGGGGGATTCCCTCTCTCTCTCTCTCTCTCTCTCTCTCTCTCTCTCTCTCTCTCTCTCTCTCTCTCTCTCTCTACTACCATCTCTCACCTTTCCACCTTAAGTGCTTAATAACACACTACTTTCTATAGCAGCTATCTTACCCTGTCAAAGTAGGAGAGGCATAGATGTGTGTATATATGTGTATATGTGTGTGTATATATAACTGAAAACTCCACACCCCAGAAGGATTCGAACCCAGACAGCCAGGAGCACTATGTATGTGGTTTTTCAATTGCATATTGGCTTGGGGACCATTCAAGCTTGTTCACATGTGTATATAAGTATATATAATATATATATATATATATATATATATATATATATATATATGTGTATGTATGTGTATGTGTGTGTATACAAGATATGTGGAAGCGGGTGAGAATTATACTTCACCTTTGTAAATACACATTAATGACACTATGTAAAAAGACACATTTAACACTGTTTATGTAGGGCGGACATAAATCTATGTATTTATGTATGTAGGTTAAATTAGCATTTTAAAAGCACCGAATCACCTTCTGTGGTTGATTGTTCAATAACCCCCTGAACTATATGTTTAACACATCTCTCACCCTGTCCATGGAGGACAGAAGAAAAAAAAAAAAAAAAAATATATATATATATATATATTATATATATATATATATATATATATATATATATATATATATATATATATATATGTGTGTGTGTGTGTGTATATCACGAAAATAAACACGTGATTAAGAATGTGACAATGTCAGAACCACGGAGGAAAATGAAACAGGAATTTCCTTAAGTACTTTCGTATATTAAATACATCTTCAGAAGGAATATTCCTTCTGAAGATGTATTTAATATACGAAAGTACTTAAGGAAATTCCTGTTTCATTTTCCTCCGTGGTCTGACATGTCATATATATATATATATATATATATATATATATATATATATATATATATATATATATATATATATATATATATATATATATGCTGGTTAGCATTATAAATGCCTGGCCACGTCAGTGGCAGAAAAAAATAATGAACAAAAAATCCTTTCATTTCCTTCTTTCCCTCGTCCTCACTTTCCTCCCTCTCCCTTCC